AAGAGCCGGCCCAGCCTTAAAAGGTGACAGCTGTGCACTCCTTTCAGGCCTTAGGTAAGAACACCAAACACAAGCTAGCTAGGAATTTCACCATTGTTGCATGAAGATTTTTTAAGAAGCAGTGAAACCCAGTCAATGTTGGGACACGGATTTCTCCTTCCCAGCCACTACAACCCGGTCGGGTACACTTCCACACCAAGGCTTCTCCCATCTTAGTTTGATGGGTGCAGCCACCACTGGTTTTGCTTGCGGGTCCAGCCAGGAGTGAGGCTGAGCCCCTAATCCAAATACACAGCAAACGCGCTCACATAAATCCAACAACACAGCCCCGTCTTGTCCCTCGTCTCCAGCCACACAGGACTGAAGCTGACCAGAGAGACAGGCAGGCCCTTGCACTCTCCAGCTTCACAAGGACACTACACTCACAGAGCCTTCAAATGTTGCCATGGGATTTAAGTTCGTCTAATATCCATGCCCAGAGCCCCCGTACCCTGCCACTGGCTTATATATGGGCTCTTTCCAGATGCTGGTTTCCTCCTGCTTGCCAGCTAGTTCAGCTTGAAGTTTACTAGTGAGTTTTGTTAGTGAAGTTTGCACACACACCGGGATCCCTATGGCACCTGGTTGTAAACGCGCTCGCTAGGCCATGGCTGCCCCTCAGATCCTACAGCCCCTATGACCCACGGCCTCTTCCCCAGTTGCAGGTGCCCAGACCTGATAATGCACACCTGCACAGGCAGATGCGGCACAGAAAGCAAGGTCAAGCAGAAAATCATCAGAAAAAGTATTTAATAAGAAGCTGAGATAGACTGCAGTGATGTGGCCCGGCTCAGTCAGACAAAAGCACCACTTACATGAGACCATCCCCTTTTATCTCCCCTTCTATTTTTCCCTGAGTGTTCTTCCTACATCCACCTTGACCCTTTCTTTCCTCTGCTCCCGTTTCCTCCCAAACAATGCACCCCTAACTACTTTTCCCCATCGGTCCCAGTTTTGCTGCATCCCTACCCAAAACTTGTATTTCTGATAACATTACCCGGGTCCCCTCAGCCTTGCACAGTATTACTGATACAGCACAGCGGGTCTTGCAAGATTCCCCCCAATACTCCCTTCAATTACACGCGAGGTTTGACCATCTTCCCCTTAAACATCGGTGAAATTTGTCCATCTTTCACAGCAGCTCTCTGTAATTTTTGTCAGCTTCTCACTGTTATTTGCGTTCAGCAATTTCTCGTATCGTGACCAGCAGTTTCTTGTGGTCTTTTCAGTTGGCGAAACCTCAGGCCAGGGCCTAGACATCTGCCCGTATCACATAAGAAGATTTATTTCAAAGACAGAACAAAAAGACACTTTAAATTATCATGGGTTTAATATGTGACAGCGCTAAAGAAATGTTTCTGTGAAACAGTTAGGATGTATTATCTACCGCAGCCAAAAGTCTGGTTCCAGGTTTCATACAGCTCTAGGTCCTTTGAGGAGACGCTGGGCCGCACGGTTCTGAAGGCGCTCTCAAAGTCCAGAAAAGCAATCGGCCGTACCTGGTCTGGCATGATGGTTGCAATGTCCATGGACTGAAGACTGCGGATAGGGCCCAGAGAAGCTTCTCGACAGAGCTGAGTCATGTCTGCCCCAGAAAATCCATTCGATTTCTTAACTATGAGTTCGATTTCCTCTTCATTCAGAGAGCAGTGCTCCTTTGACATTAGACGGGTAACAATCTGCTTCCTAGCTGAGGCTTCTGGAAGAGGAATGTACAGTCTCTTCACTAGTCTCCTTCGGGCAGCTTCATCGATTTCTTGGGGTCGATTTGTTGCTCCGACCACTAGAATACGATCTTCAGATGATGTCGTTGCCCCATCTAACTGGACCAGAAATTCAGTTTTTATTCTTCTTGATGACTCGTGCTCCCCATCTCCACGCTGAGACAAGAGAGAATCAATTTCATCAATGAAAATCACTGCTGGCTGTTGACAACGTGCCACAGCAAACAGCGCACGGACCATCTTTTCCCCCTCGCCTACCCACTTGGAAGTCAGAGAAGAAGCACTGATGCTAAAAAAGGTCGCTCCAGACTGGCATGCGATGCATTTGCCTATAAGAGTCTTGCCAGTCCCAGGGGGGCCAAAGAGAAGAATGCCTTTAGGAGGACCACGTAACCCAGTGAAGATGTCTGGCCTCAGCATCGGCCAGACCACTATTTCTTTTATAGTAGCTTTAGCAAATTCAACTCCGGCAATGTCATCCCAGTTGACAGGAGGCCCATGGTCCATGATCTCGTGCATAATGAGTTCAACCATTTTTGGTTCTATGTTTTTCAGTCGTTCATCTACAGGCAGCGATGGATCTGTTGGTCCTCTCGCATGAGCTTTACACTGTGCTCCTCCATTTTCATTTCCATCTTGTTTTGGAACTGGAGGAACAAACTTGCCAAATGGACCCCGAGATCTGCCTGCACCCAGTGATTTTTTTATACCTCCATATGATGAGACTGGTGCACGCTGGGGTAGGTTTTGAGATTTCTTTTGCTGATCCACCCACAGCTGTTCTTTTGCAGTTCTAAAACCAGGAACATTGCTCTCTTCATTTCTGTTTCTATACCCTGAAGAACTACCGGTTTCTGTACTAATGGAAGCCTGGCACGGAGCAAGGCCAGGAACCACTGTGCTGCCTTCATCAGTCAGACCATAAAACGTTTTTCTTTTGCCAGAACTTGCGGACCACGCAGGTACAGATGACTGATTGGGAAGAGACAAATTTTGTCCATCACGACAGTTACCTGACATTTTCAGAGAACTATTACTTGTTGTTTCTTTACTTCCAAATAGTGGAGTTGCCTGGAAACCTGCATGAACCTGTTCGTTTAAGGAGGCTGAAGAGGCAGGAAGCGTATCCAAAGTTTTAGTCAGAGGAGGCACATGAGACTTTGAAGACGAGGGATGTTCAAGATCTGGTCCCTGACTTGCACATTTTGCTGAGCCAGCACAGAGCTCAGTCTCTCCGGCACTGCTGAAGATACTGAGTTTAGGAAGACCTGGAGCAGCAGAGGCACTGACCCCTTTACCAGTTAGTACACAGGCATCTGTCGGTGCCATCTGAGAGCTCCGGAAATTTTTGCCAGCCTGCATCCTCTCTTGCACACACTTTAATTCAAATACATTATCTGTTGTCAAGACAGATTGCCACTTGTCACTGTCATTTTGCTGACACTTTGCCAAAGTCAAAATGTTTTCAGCATAGTTATTCAAGCCAGTCTCTATGTTGTCAGAGTCAATAATTGCAGAGTATTTCTCTGCGTATTTTTTAAACAGGTTGGCAGCACAGACCTGAGAGATCTCAGAGTTTGCCCATGCATACTGAATACGCAGGATTTTGGCACGGTATTCATCTGCCTTCTGTCCAGGTGTGCAGGTGCCAGAGGTAATAGCAAAGTAACTTTTCTGCCAGTCGCTCAGGTGCACAGTGCTGTGGGTGGGGGTTTCCATCACTGACACTGAAACACACATAAAATACCTGCTGTTATAAAATGCATTTCACAGCTATTTGCTTTGGCTGCTTTCCCCCTTTCCTAAACACATATACATGAGAACATACATTATTTTAATTGAGAAAAATAGCGCAGTAGATCTTGTAAGCTACTTAGCCAGTCTGGACAATTTACCATTTTCAAAAAGCAACCAGCTTTGTGGTGTAAAGTCATTTAGACTGAGGTTTTCTTTTCTTCCTTTTTTTAAAGAAAGAAAAGAAGAAGAAAGGAAAAAAAGAGAGTTTGCTTCTAACCAGAGGTCTCCTGGGGAGGTAAGTAGACTGCAAAGAATGGTAACAGATGGCCAAACAAAAATTGGCCTTGTTAAATGAAATCGCCAGTGCTTTCACTCTTATTTGACAGAATACAGCACAGTGCAGAGGAGGACAGATTATACATCACTGTCAGAATGATGAAATTTATTACAGTGATAGTAATAAAAATGAAACAATGAAGCTAATAAATAAAACTATATGCAAAGTCTCTGAAGGGAGGTAAAAGTGGAATGAATAAGTCTGAATGTTGTAAACTTTCAGATTAAGAAAATATTTACAGATTCATAGCAAATGTTCAAAACTATTTATTCTATTTAGAACATACTAAAAAGTCTCTATTTTACATTTTAGAGAAACAAAGCTCTTGTGTGTTTAAAGCAATGTTTGTTTCTCAGTTTTAGAAAGTGGAATTTAAATTGCTTCACCGATTTTTTACTTAAAGAAACAGGAAAGATGACATTTGGCTAGGAAGAAGCATTTCGCTAGACTTTAAAAGATATGCTCATGTTTCTGATGCATTTTCAAAGAAGTTTTTCTCTGCAATGTATCATGTGCAGAGATATTTCTGGTAATGTCAAGAATTTATGATTTCAGAAGAGACATAGGCACAAGCAAAATTATGACAAACCTACCACTGCCTCAACAGGGTTTGCAGAAAGGTCTTAATACACAGCAATTCCTATCTTCTCATCTGTCCGTAACGGACATACACCTAATATATGATATAACTGAAATACATCAAATTCTAATTTCTCTTTTTCTAACTTCAGCATGTACCGGAACGTTCCAGCCAGAGAATACTTAAAACAAAAACTGTTAATGTGGAGGTCCTTATATTCTGCACCCCTTCCAACAGAGTACGAATCAACTTGCAGTGTTCTTCTGAATCAGCTACAGACTACGTATGAGCGCAGATTAAGGTACAGGTGTAACGTACCTACAAGACTGGGGAGATAGAGCTGAAGTAATCTGGGGTGAGGGGGGGGTCCTCTCTATTTACTTGTAAAAAGTCTTGCATCAGTGTTAGATAACAGAGTACAGTATGAAAATGGCAGGAGGGGTTACATACATAACAAACAATAAGGAGATAAATTATTTTGGTTTGGATTTTTTGGACTTCAACCCAACTTTGTAGAGCTGTTTAGAAAAGTCAAAATATCGTTTACCTGCAAATTCAGTGCCTTTACATCAGAAGCCTATTAAAAAAAAAAAAAAACAACACAAAAATAAGACTTCCTCTGAAAAATTACTGTCAGCTTTTACACCGTGATACGCCTAACTTGCGCCTACCGAATGCGGTGCAAATTCCCACCATAATCCATCTGCAGCTGAGCGACAGCTAACAGATGGAGGGCTGCAGCCTTTTATTTCTTTTCTCTAAACAACTACTAAACAATGTACTAAATAACTGTCACTGTGCACATAACTTTTTGTAACTGCTGAATCAAAAACATCTTATGAAACATAAAAGCAAAGTTCAGAAAAAGTTCAGTAGCAGGCATTTGCTCCCATGAAATCTTTCCATTGATGTACATCATTCAGAATTTAAAATCTCAAGTTCACCACCACTTCCTAAAGATTTAGTAATCATCTTCACAGTGCTGCAGAAATGTCATAAGTGAAGAGTGGTAGCTAGTTTAAAATTTCAGTTTGATTTTCCTTCTTAAGTATCTTCTAATATAATATTCTCTCCCTATTCTAAATCCCATTTAGTGGTCCTCATAGTCTTACTATTTTTCCCAAAGAGATAGCCAAACGTGGACGTGGACAGTCAGTTCTTCAACAGCCAAAACTGTTCCCAGATGTCGACATCATGCTTTCATATAAGCGTCTAAAGTTGGGGGTTTATCAAAACCTTGACAATAATTAATTCCTGGCACGCAAGTTGCAGCCTCAGCAAACAGAGAGGCAAGTAGCGACCTGAGAAGCCATGCGCTGGATGTCTTTGCGTTCACACACGAACATATACATCCATTCAAAACATGGGGAAAGCCTGCTTGCCCGTAGGCAAGAAAACCAGAAGGGAAGCACGCCAGCTGCCCAGGCAGGTCTCAGCCCTCCCCG